ATTAGCATTATGCTGATATTGTGTCTAGTGTACTAAGAATGGTGAAGCCGACGAGATGACCCGGCGCTCAGGAGAGAGGAAGAGCCGAAGTTTGCTGGGCGGAGGCAGTGATCGGCGGGCGAGCGAGCCAACCGGGTTGGGCCTGCTTCCTTCTATTTCGAGAAGGGGGACTCCGCCTCAGTCTGAAACGGCAAGGGCGAGGGCCCCAGCAAAGAAGCCGCCGCCGCCCATCCTCGCCCTCACTCTGCCTCTCTTCCACCAGACTCTCATCCGACAATTGCACTCTGCATCAACACCAACAACAACAACAATCCTCTCACCACCAACACACTCGCTCTATCGCAACAAACGTGCTCGCAGGAGGCGCGGATCCATCGGCACAGCCACACTTCCGGCAGAACCGGCCCAGCGTCGAGCTGACGACGACTTTCCAGCAGGCTAACCGCTCCTGTCACGCACCCAGTGCCCGCAACACAACACCCCAAGACTGCCGCTTGCCTGCCTAAGGACCGCTCAAACACGATCAGCGACTCCCCAGCAGTCGAACAAACAATAGCGACATGGCTACCGCCGTCCAGCCTGCCATGACCATGGCCCCCTTCAACGGCCACCCGAACCAATGCGTCGACCCCAATGAGTTCTTCGACTTTGGCCAGATGCCCTCGCCCACGCAGCCTGCCACTCTGAAGCGGGAGTCCAGTGCGACATCGACTATGGCCAGTCCCACCAGCACAAACATCGACGACGACCTCCAGACACCCGCAAAGCCCAGCCACGAGTACGAGCGCTTCAAGCAGCAAACTGGCCTGCCCACTAACTCGCTTCCCGGCCTTAACGCCGGCTACAACACGGGCTTCCCCATGTTCTCGTCCACTGGCTTGGACGAGATGGCCATGATGGGCGGCGACTCCATGATGGACGGCGCCTGGAACAACGGCCTGCCCATGGACGTCGGCATGAACATGGCCGTCGACTACCGCCAGAACAGCTTCGTCTTCAACGAGGCCGCCCAAGACGACTTCGTCGACCCCAGCGCCATCACACAAGAGGAGGTCACCAACGTCAGGGTCTGGCCCGGTATGCATCAACAGCAGGCTGCCATGGCCAAGGCGCAGGCGCAGGCCCAGCAGCAGCGTGCACAACAGTTGACCCACCAGAAGCAACAGCAGGCCCTCCAGCAACAGCAACAACAACAACAACAGCAGCAGCAGCAAGCGCAACAACAGCAACAGAACCGCATGGCCTCCACCAGCTCGGCCAGCCGCAAGACCTCGAGCCCGCTCAGCGACGCCCACACCGAGGAGATGATCACCCGCGTCGTCGCACAGATCCGGGCTGACAGCCAGAACGCATCTGCGAACATGGCCAACGACAACCAAGGCCTCCTCCCCCACATCATCCGCGCAAAGAAGGACGAGGAGGACATGGACGAGGACGAGAGGCTGCTTGCGTCCGAGGAGGGCAAGAAGCTCAGCTCCAAGGAGCGCCGCCAGCTCCGTAACAAGGTCTCCGCTCGCGCTTTCCGCTCGAGAAGGAAGGGTAAGCTACATCGACACCAGTACACTTGCAACATCAACTAACATCACCAGAATACATTGGCCAGCTCGAAGGCGAAGTTGCCATGAAGGTCAACGAGGCGAACGAACTCCGCTCCCAGAACCGCCTCCTCATGGAGGAGAACGCCCGCTCGCGCGCTTTCATCGAGCGTCTGCTCCGCCACCAGGCTTTCACTCCCTTCCTCGAGGAGCTCTCTCGCGACGAGTCGCTCCAGGCCAAGGCCCCCATGACCTCAATGCCATCAACCGCAGCACCCGTCGCCGCTGCTCCTGCCCCCACTCAGTTCCAGCAACAACAGCAGTTCAACGGCATGTCGCAGGCCGAGAACACCCACGTTGGTATGACCATGGTCCCCGAGCCCCAACTCGACTTTGCTATGCTCAACCTGAACACCAACAATGGCAACAACTGGGGTGCTAACAATGGTTTCAACTTCCAGCAACCCGTTGCTTTCGCCGTCACTGAGCTGCCTGAGGGTCCCACCAACCCCCTCGACATCGAGGCCATGTCTGGCAAGGGATACAGCGCTATCCTGAACGCCGAGGACGACTCGTCGGTTGAGGAGGTCAAGGCTGACTATCCCATCGTCGAGCGCCCTGTCCAGTCTGAGCCCACCGCTCCCGCTGCCGCCGATGAGACTGAGGAGCTAGATGCCGAGTACGACCTGTACTACTCTTCGTCCATTCCCTCCACCACTGCCGCCGCACCGCTTGAGGACCACGAGGCACTCTTCACCAACCCCGAGAAGGCCTTCGCACACTACTCGCTAGTCATCTCAGACGAAGCGAACGAGGCACTTCTAGCAGAGCGTCTGGCGAGGAAGATTGCTACCATGAGCCCCGCCATGCAAAGATTAGCCGACATCACATCGTCGTTTGACTTATAGCCAATGACTCTACAATTTGTCTTCATTCTGATCTTTCCTTCTCAAACACTGCAGCGATTTTTGTTTTCATAGACTGTCCTACATGATTGTAACGATTCCCTTTGTTTGATCATATATATCCAAGTCGGCTGTTCCGACGTGCGACTTGGGTTTCAGCCGCAATCAGCGAGTAGTAGGCCTTCTTTTGCTTTTCCTTTGTTCTTTCGGTACTGCGCGATGGTTCGTCATGCGTACCTTGATCCTTGTTCTGGATGGCGTTCATCGGGCAATGGGTTTTCTTGTAGATATATTCTGACCCCAAGGTCTGTTGGGGGCTGATGAAGTAGTCGGAACTGGGGTTACGTAGAGGCGGATGTGGGGATTGAATATAGTGATGAAGTTACTTCTTGTCCTACATGCTTGACTGTGATGACTTCTTCTTCTCTGCCCCTTCTCACTCATTGACTACAGTGTCGCCATCCATCCATCCATCCATCCGCCCGGTCCCAATCCTTCCCACCCACCCCCACGCCGCCTCTGCCCTACACTCTTTACCCAGATTAACCACACGAACCCTCCGTCCTCCTCCCCCGTATCTGCACCCTGCCCCAATGCACGTCTACCCTGCATACCGATATCGCATCCCGACAACCATCGTTAATATATTTCCCTACACTACTCCACGTCACATTCCACCTCGCGCATTCCTCGTTACGATGAGGAATGTGGTCCCTCTAACAACAGTGGTCTAAAACACGAGGGACGCATGCGCCGGGTACTATCATTGACTCCCGTTGCGTGTAGTGATAGTAGGGATAGTGTTATAGGGGGGTATCCTGGGGGTATAATGGAGATTGTATGGGTGAATTGCAGGGATGTGTGGTGGTGGAGGATGGGGAGATGGTGGGTGGTGGAGGAGGGAGACGGGGAGATGGGGTGGGGGTATGTTTTTGCAATGGTTGTTGGGTGTATGATGAGGCACGGTAATGTATATGCGCAGAGGTTGGATACATGCTTTGTGCTGGACACATTGGAAAGAGAAGTATCACACTGTCCAGGTGAATACCTACGCATACGTTGAACTTGATGAATTGATATATACCTTGGACTTGTATCCAGCATCCGGAACGCCTATTACCCTAGTATACAAACACTGGAATTGAACTTTATCTTCTCCCTCCTTCCTCTTACTTCCTTTCCATATCCGCTAGAGTCATACCCCCACTCAACGCGTTCCTCGCCCGTGCATGTTGATCTTGCCAGCGGGTTCGTGCGCCGTCGACGGCTGCGCCTTCTTTTGCTGCGACGATTGTCGTGTAAGTTATGCCGAATGCTGGGGTGGTTTTGTTAGTTAGATGTTGGATGTGATTGAGGAAGGAGAAGAGCAGATAGGGTGGTGAGGCTTACCTAGGAAGGCGGCGAAGGAGGGGAGGTAGGATCTTGGTACTGCTGGCATTATGTGTGGATTGGTTGGGTGCGTTGGGTGTTGTTGGCTTGCTTTGTCGGCTTGATTGATGATTGGTAAGATGAAAAAGATTGCCGATTACTTGTATGCAAGACGCTTATTGTATGTGCGATATGAGGTGTTGAAGGTTGATGGAGTTGAATAGCTGAAGATGGATGTGACTGGATGTAGATGATGAATATCAACGGAAGAAATTCATCCACCTTATATCTATCACGATTCCTTGAAGCAATAATCACGATCGCGGTGCTTACCGACGATGCCATTCCTCAATGCATACAGGTTGGTTGCGTGATCCCATGTTACCAACATGAAGGCGTGCGCCTCACACCTACATGCGAAATCACAACTCCGGCTTCTGAGATCGCGAGACACGACCGACAGTCTATAACACCATTGGCCGAACCCGCCAAATGTACGATCATGTCGTATGATACGCTCCTGCGTGTGGTTATTTCAAAAGTCCTAGTGGCGAGACACATGCAGCAAGAACATCGTGTTCGGGCGTTGCCGGGATGCGTGTGGGGTGACCGTTGGCGAGGGTCGTACGATAGTAGGGCGACCGCTCAGCCGGGTTTGTGCGCATGGTGGGTACGTAAACCTGCTTTTATTAGCTGCGCTTTGCGATTTTGGGGTTGCTGTTTATAGTGATGGGGTCGTGATTGTGTGTACGTTGGTTTGATGGTGGAGGGAGAAAGAGGGTGGGGGGCTAGGGCCGTGGAGGCAATAACGATGGGTCACTTTGGATATTGGAGCGTTAACGTGCTGCATTCTTCAACCTTCATTTTAAGATAATTTTAGGGATCTGGTTGCTAAAGAGGTGGTTTTTGGATGTTTTGCGAGTCGAATACCAATGTTTTGGCAGAAGCATTTCTCACGGCCTTCTTTCAACTACACGCGCATAAAGAAAACAAGTATGTATGGAAGTCTCTCTGGAACTCCAGTCCTTGTTTGTGTGTTGGTTTTGAGAGACCTGAAAGAGCTTTCCTACTGAAACGTCCTCGGTGGTTGGCTCATTACACTGGAATCCAGCAGCGATGCCTCAACCATTTTGGACCCCGCACTCATCACCCCTTCTCCTGTGTCATGATCTTCTGCGAAGTCATGAAGCTGCTAGATACGCTTCAATTTTCCGAAGTGCTTGCCTTCCTCCCAGTTGCGTTGCCACTCCTTCTCGGTCATGCACTCACCGGTGTGAATAGTCCACATCTTCTCCAGCCAGAACTCCTTCGTGAACGTTTCATGATCGAACAGTCGCTCCTTAGCCAGTAACTTCTTGCTCGTCTCTGTCTTCGGCTTAGGCCGGATTGTAATGTCAATGAAACCGCCCTCGTCAATGAGCAACTGATTGTCGCTCATCCCTGCAAGCCACCCGTAGAATATTCCAACAGCCGTCCTCATCAACTGTAGATTCTCAGGACGTAGAAGCTCATTGTCAACCTCAACGGTAAACTCGACTTCAAGTTTTGGACCAGTGGGTAGTGCGTTGTGAAGACGGAGGACTTCGCGCAGATTAGGAGTTTGAAGGTTGACCTGGCCGCTGGAATGGTGACGCTCGAGGAGTGAGACAGTTTCGTCGGCTTCGATAAATGCCGGTGTACACATCATCAGAAGATTCATGGTGGGGATACACATTTCTTCCCAATTCGTAAAGATACGAAGTGGCTCACCGTCCAACCTTGAAGCCAGTACGCTAGAGACTTCGTGGTATATTTGCCGGCAAGTGGTGAGCAGTCCCATGCACGGGATACGCTTTGTAGCAACGCTAATGCGCGGCATGGCTCGCCCACGTATCGTTTTTACTGTGTAGCGACGTGTTTCGGCAGGGAAAAGGTCGTAGATCTCGAGGCGGATGTCCTTGGGGAGGTCGAGGAACCGGAACGCTTCATTGTCTGTCATCGCGGGCTACAAGGAGGTCGCTCATCAGCTTAGTGAACCAGACGCATGTACTCGACAACACCTACTTGTATCTTGGAATCGGTCGGATTAGAGTTGCGCAAAGTCGGGCGGTCGACTGGATAGTCGTTGTCTATAAAGCAGGACTGAAGTCTGAGGCAGTTGATAGAAGCGACAGTGAGAAGTAAAAGTAGGTAAAGCTGAAAGAATGTTGTATGTTTATGTACCAATTACGGACTAGTAAAAAACGTCAAAGCTCTAGATGCGGAGAGGCAGCGCAAGGCAGTCACGTCTCAGCGAGAGTAATGATTCAAGAATATCGCAAAAGGACGTAGCGAATTAAGGTAAGGTTTGGATTAATTAAAGAAATATTGATAAACTACTCGGACATTTGCCTGCCGTGCAGAGAGCTGCAGATATACACCAATTCCTCCAAGCAAGATGACTCCTCCACCAATACGCATGCGCGTCCTTCTTTCCTTTCCGCCGTTCTCAGAGACAGCGACGCTCTAGCCAATAGCATGTACACGCGAGTTCGGGACTCGAGCGTGTACAAGCATGAGGCGTGCATCCAGCTGTCTCTTCCACCATTGTCTTCGCTTCCGCCGCCTATGCGTGAAGCCGGAGTCCTAGGGCTGAGCAATATTGAACCAACCAGATAGCGCTTGCGGGCCGGCCCAGTTGGGCCGACGCAGGTGCTGTCTGATCTGCTACGAGTCCGTGCCCAGATGATATCCCACGCCTCCGGCTGGCTACCAGAGTCATCGTTGGTTTGGTCGTTAATTCGTGTCGTATTCGTCGTAAAAACATGTATCGTCCGTTGAATTGGATGCCCATGCGAAGGAGTAGAGATGTGCAAAGAACCAGCACTCTAATCATCACGGATCTTCGTAATCGTAGAAACCATCGAAAAGATCCGTGACCACCTTGAGCATCGGCTCCATCAAGGTCCTCTCATCCTCCGGTAGTCCACCAAAGATGCGCAGTCGTTGAGTCTCCAACTCTTGCTCCTGCTCCTGCTGTAGTCGAAGCCGGGTTTGCCATGCGGTGTACGTTTGCTGCCAGTGGTTCGCATTGGCACCCGCAATCGAACCTTGAGGGTGGAAGCAGGAGCTGGTTGCGGAGAGAGTTGAAGAGGTAGTGCTGACCGACTCGCTTCGAGTGTGGTTGATGACCTGCGGAGGTGAATTGTCGTGGTTGTTGTTGCGGTTCCGAGGACGGCTTCTAGTTCGTTTTCTGTTGTGACGTTTGCCCATGTCGTCTATTTCAAGTTCTTGTGGATGTGTGAATAACTAATAATAGGGTTGAGGGGAGATGGAGAGTGGTGGGGCGAAAAGCCGCGAAGGCGGCTGATAGTCTCAGGAGAGTCAAGCATTGGAGCAAGATACCTACCCAGCCTTATATACATGGGATGACATTGAATCACGTATGCAGGTACAAGCTAAGTCAAGGATGTCAGTAGGCTGCAGAGTGACTCAGAGCCGCACGATGGTGTGACGGGGAGAAGGAAGATGCTAGATCACAGCCTAGATGACAGCGAATGCGGGCCCACTATTGCACCCGTGCCCGCCCATGATTGGTCACATGGCATCGCCGAAATTCGGGACCTGCAGGAGTCATCCTCGCGGCGGGCATGCACAACTCATGTCTCCACAGAGTCTTCACCTCTCTTTGCTCCAACTCATCGCAATTTCCTTGTTTCACCTTCTTTTGCTTCTTCGACTCACCACTCTGACGACATGTATACGGACAAAGGGCGCGCGCGTGATGTGCACAACCGTGGCGGTGCGCTATTCTGCCTTCTCTACCTACCACGGGACTCTTGCAAACTGGGGCTATGCAACAGTCACCGCGAACTCAGGGGACAAATGACTACAGACAAGCGCATGCAGGACTTGTACCTGTTGAACGACCGACATGTGCCTGGCCATGCGACAGCCCAGGATCGCGGAGGGCGGATGGAAAACCTCGACCGCGCTCTGACCGCCATGGGGTCGAGGGCGACGGGATGCGTTGCGTGGGGATGCCACATCACGTTGCCGACCGCCATGTCGACTAGACGGTGAACGTGAACCCGGAAGTTATACTATGTGTTAACATGGGATGAAGTTTTTGATGAGAAAGACATTCGCACAGGCTTCCAAGGTCATTACTCACGTCATCTGCCACACTAGCCACACGGGTGACCAGTAATCGCGATCGCACCTCTCGCTATCAGTTCGGCATCCGACCAGCGGCCATGTTCGCAGCAAATCTGGAATAGCAGCTTCAAAGACTTGTCGACTAGTCGCTGCCTACACCCGCGAACGAAGGATCATGCTAATGCTAGCCAAGTCAAGCGAGTCAGACGCGTGCCTGCGCAAGGCTACAGGCACGTCGCGCAAACACGTGCTCAGGATGGCTGAACCATCCAGGTCTCCATGAGATGACCTTACTAATGCTGTATCGACGTCAACGACATCTTCTGCCTGAGGCACTCGTCACATCATGAGAGTCGGTGCTTTCCCAACATGTTTCGCCGACATCTTACTTCCGGCTCTCCACCATGTGCACCCCGGCCCCAAGTCAGACTAGCACGTCAATGTCCACCACTCGAAACACACGAAAAAGCTGCGGAAACGCGTAAGCTCGACCATTTCCTGTTCTAAACAGCGTCATCTGTGTCACTCCCAGACGTGAATCATCGATTTGGCGCTGTTCGGCTTGTGTTGTGGGTGATGTTGTTAGATCAGCCGTCGCAGGTAAGAATAGATTAACTAGCCAATGTTTCTTTCTATCGATCTGTAGACATTCAAATCGAGCTTGCATTGGTCTTTCTCATTCCACATCATCACTATGACTTTCAGTACACGAGCGACGCTGCTTAGCCTAGGTATGAAGCCAACCCTGGAGATTGAGGACTAAATTGATGAGATGATAGCAGCAACCACAGTTTCTGCGCAGTACGGCCCCGGTGGTCAATACGGTCCAGGCGGATTTGGAGGAGGTAGTGACAGCGGCGACAACGACTTCGGCTCATCGTTTGGCGGCGGCCGTGGCGGCTTCTCATCAGAATCACGACATAAGATCATCGTAGCCCATGGTGTCCTCGCAGCCCTGGCCTTTGTCTTATTCTTCCCAGTTGGATCGATTCTTATACGACTAGGATCGTTTCGCGGTGTCTGGATCGTCCATGGCATATTTCAACTCTTTGCGTATGTTGTGTACATCGCAGCATTCGGTCTCGGTGTGTGGATGATCAACAACATCCCAGTCAACATGTTGGACAACTACCACCCGATTATTGGCATCATCGTCTTTGTCTTCTTGTTCTTCCAACCCATACTTGGCTTCGTCCACCACCTCAAGTTCAAGAAATACAGCCGCCGGACTATCTGGTCGTACGGTCACCTCTGGCTGGGACGTATCCTCATCACGCTTGGTATGATCAACGGTGGTCTTGGCCTGCTACTTGCATCGGATGCGCCCGCGTTCACCGGATTTGCCCCCAGTCAGGGCCAGATCATCGCGTATGGAGTTATTGCCGGAATCATGTGGCTGCTTTGGGTTTCGGCCTCGATCTATGGGGAGAGGAAGCGAACCATCTCAAGCCGGGCGGCAGTGAACAAGGAGGTCGATGCTGGGTCGCCTGCGCGCCCCTATGATGATGGCAAGGAATTATACGCGTACGGTGGTTCCTATTCCTGTTCTGATGCACACATTGCTAACCCAATAACAGGCAGCGAACTTATGCTTAAAGTTACCGATGCATCCTCAGAACCGTCTACAGTAGCGTGTTACAATACCAAGACATTTACTCTGTGATTCATTTGATATTTTCTCATGCAACTCACATGACTTCGCGTGCCCGTCAAGTCTTTGTCTTCCTTCTTGCCTTTCTTGTCAACAACCGTCCAACAGCCACAGGCAGAACCTCTTATCTTCTGGTTATTCGGACGAATCTTCGCTTTCCGTCTTTTTGCATGCGTTGGCAAGCAACACGATCCCGATGTTCAAGATGATGAACCCAATCTGCGAACGAAAAAGTGCGTTAGTTCACGTTCAATGTGCGCGACATGTTCCTTCTACTGCCACAAAAGGAATAGACTCACCGGCAGAGCAAAGAACCAAGACATCCTTATTGCTAACACGAAATTTCCTTTATCGTCTGGATCTTTCTGTTGCAGCACATACGCTAAGACACAGGCTGCAACGTATGTCATTCCCGTAAATTGATGAATGGCAGATCGACCAGAATACGACATATCCTTAGGAAGCTTATGGTGTGCAATCAAGCACCCCAACAGCAATAACATCGCTGCCATCTGTTCACATAAATCAGTAAGAAATTCTTCATATGGGTCTGGCGTAGCTAGATAAGAGACGGGCATAGAGAAGCGACTTACCGGTACGAAAACGGCCCACATTAACATGACCTCCGTTATATCATGATTGATTTTATAAAGTGCTGCGGCAGCTACGGTAAGGAATATCATAAGCATCATGATTGCTGGTGGTGACCGGATGAACGAGCGCCGGTGTGATTTTAGAATGAGTTCGCGCTGTGTGGGCGGCAGTGCGCGGAATTGGCTCTCCGTGTAAAATTGAGGAGATGAAGAGGACGCGGACTCGAGGTCGCCTTCTTCGTCATAACTGCTTCCTAGGTTACTGCCGTAGTTGAAATGCATGTTGCGTGCTGGATATGGTGGTAGCATTGTGGGGTGAGAATTCTGGGTGATTAGTGCAATGCGTGTGGTGGAAAAGCTTGGATTCTTTGCGCGAAACAATGAGACTCTGAAAGGCATTGCTCAATTTCACTGTGAAAGCTACGGCAAAGTCACAACGCACGAGTAAATGTCCATGTGCCGAGGGAACGCGCGTTGACTTTCGATACCCCCAGGTGTCTAACCCTTTTACTTCTTGCTCATCTTGCTCGTACCATCATTCCCAAGCAGCAAGCCTCCCCCTTTCGTGACTCGGATACTGTGTTGTCGTCTCGCTTATTCCATACAGTTACAACCAGCAGCACGGCCAGGTTCAATACGAAGTATCCCATCTGCATCAAGAAACGCGTCAGCAAGCAAACCACTATGCTTTCTCTACGCCACCACACGTATGGAGAACGATTACTTACCGGCAAGATGAAGAACCAATATCCGGCCATATCCATCCCGAAGGAACCTTTTGCGTCTTCCGGACTTCTCTTTCGCGTCATGTATATCCAGACACAGCTGGCGATGTAGGTACCCCCGGTCAAGAAGTGTATTACACAGCGCGCGAGCAGCGAGGTATCCTTGGGAACGTTCTCATGTGTCAGGATAAAACCTCCGAAAATACAGATGATGGTCATCTATCGGTACATGAAGGTTAGCCCAGAACAAGAAGAATCTTGAATGGAGGTGAAAACAACTGTGGAGGACTGAGCTTACAGGTAGCATGATAATCCACACCAGCAAGAGGAAGAACTCTTCCATATCATCGACGTAATAGACTCCTACAGCGGCTCCGATGTAACATGCTATAGCTGCGAGCAGTACAAATCGTCTTGTGGTGGTGAACGCGCTGCTGCGCGGCTTCTGGGGCTGTGGTAGTTGTGCGGGTGGTGATGGATCGCGTGCGCTCTCTAGATCGGGTAGACGGGATAGCAGGATCGCATCCTCGAGATCGCATTCTCTATCGAAAACGGATTTCAATAGCATCGTTATTAATAGCGGTGGCAATTGTGGTGTTGGTGATGACAATGAGGGATTCATTGGCGATGGACACGCAGTGAGTACGCCTTCTATTTTACTGAATCAGAAAGAACGAGTCAAGACAATGTTGACCAAAAATTCTAAACGCGGGGAACGCGATCAAACCCGCGCATATACCGAAAGAAGGCGTATCGCTCATTCGGCATTGCAGGCAAGTACCATGGTACCCTCCGGGAGCCCATCGTCAAACCAGTTCAGGGACGAACAACAACCACAAGTAGTCAAGACCCTTTACATAGTAGAGTAACAGTGTAATAGCTGATACATCATGTGGCTGGACACCGGCGTCTTTCGCCATGTATCTACCTTCACCTCACAACTCGCACCGCCGCGCATGCCCTCACGCCCTCTCCTCACTATATCCCCTATAACCAGTCCACCATGGAGACAGACACAGATTCAGAGCTAGTACTGCAACGAACCCGGACAGTACGCATAGCATGTGACAACTGGAATCCAATTCCGTATTGGATCGCCACCGGCACGGTGATGGCCTACGCATGCAGCGCACTCATGGCTATCGGCGGGCTCAACATCCATGACCTCAATGTTATTTACATTACTAGTGTATTCATACCTGTACGTTGAATATGATAGCTCCCTCGCTCATGCTATTTACCTACCTGCCCCCGTCTCTTTCCCCCCTTCTCCACCTTCCAAGGTTACCTACTACGGAAGCGACGTACTAGTCTACCTACCACAGTCGAACATCCTCCTCCACACCCTCATGCTCTTCCTCTGGCACCGCCCCCGAGCACGGCACCGCTTCGCGCCCCTAACACGCACATTGATGAGCTGTGCGACGGTGAATTTATGGGCTGGGGGATGTGTGGGCGCGTTTTATACGGTGGATACGGCGATGTGGATTGCGGGGTGGTGGTTTGTCGGAATACCGGTATGTTGTTGGAATTGAGAGAGGCTATATTAGAGTAGGAGTAGGATTGAGTACGGAAGCTAACGATGTGGATAGGGTGCGCTTCTGATTGGGAATAGGGCGCTTGTTGATGGGATGGAGTGGTGGATACGACGGCAGACGAGGCGGAGGGAACGTGTGTTTGGGAGGTGATGTAGTGGTGAAGAGTGTAGGAAGTATTGGTGCTGGACTAGCTTGGGTACGTTATGGATGAGGGTTAAACGCAGACAGCAGCTCATGCGATGGCTGCGGTGTTAACAAAGGCAGTGGTATATCAAAACTCATGATGCTACATGTATCCCCAGACCCCAACGCGCTTTCCCCCAAATACTCAAAGTAGCCGCTCAGACACATATATATATCGTAACCCTCAAGTAACCAAGAACCCCCCAAGACAAAGCCGAAGCTCATCCCCCAAACGCCAAGCCACACCCCTCTCTAGCCCGATCATCTTGAATCCAATCTGACCAAACCCTACTCAAACGCCATTAGAACCAATAACTCTCTCCCGCAGCGCTAACTTCAAATTGACACCCCAAGCCCTTCCCTTGCTCCTGCAATGCTTCCTCCCCTTCCCTCAGCTCCCTCAGAATCTGAGTCCCTACTAGCGGCCCATCCATGAAGGAATCCTTGACATGGATGATAACGACCTTGACGCCTTTGAGCGGAGAATCGAATGCCGCAGAGAGCATGGCGCGGTTGTGCTCAACGGAGACGGATGACAGACCGAACGCTGCTGGTGCAGAAGGATGGGATGGAGGTGGCCCGGGGGTGCCATTTTGCTGATCCTGTGGTTGATCCTGATGCCGCTGAAGAGACTGATGATGTTGCAGTGGCGGTGGAAAAGGAACAGGCGTGTTCGTCCCCGTGTCACCCCTCGAAAGCGGGAAGTCGCTCATTGTCTCATCGTCGGTTTGCGAGTGGTTTGTTATCGAAATTGGGGAATCTATCCCTTTGCCTACTCCACCTAGGTAGCCGCCCATCTTGACTTTTCTTCCATTCTCGGCTGAACTTAGACTTTCGAGCTGGAGGTTGTTACTTGCACTGGCTCGCTTCCGCTTCTTTTTCTTCTGTGAGCGGAGCTCTTCTTTGTCGCGCTCGTGCTGCTTTTTGCTGTCTTTTACCATGGCCGCGAGGGAGCTGAGCTCTTCGAGTAGATGGCGGGGTGCTAGGTGTCCGAAAAGTACGGCGTCCGCTTGCGCGTTCGTGTATGAGACTTCTATGAAAATACCTTTCAAAGTGCCGGCGGCGATCTTTGGAGCTGCTTCCGTCCAGATTTGATGTGTACGTGGGGAAAGTGAGAGGGAGTCTGGTTCAACGTCGCCGAAGATGAGGATCTCGCGTTTTGGGGTCGTGAGGGTAGATTCGGCGCGAATGAAGTAGGCGGTTGAGTCAATCACACAGTGATCTTGCGATTGCGGTTGCTGGGGTTGAGGAACTGTGACACCGCTGGCTCGTCGGCCGGCTTCTGTGCTTCCGCTGAAACCTGGAGTGCCGGGTGCGCTTTGTGTAGTCATAGAGAAGCTTTGTGAACGACCTTCAAGTCCGTCTGATTGACCATACGACTGAGAAGGGTTTGCATTTTGCCGATCTGAGGTCTCCAGTAGGTTGGCGTTCGATCCGCGGTGTACATGGCCAGGTCCCTGCATGCAGTGGCCATGGCTTACTTTGAAGCCCTTGACTCCTAAGCCGTCGCACACTTCGATGTAACCTCTTGAGCTTCCTTCACCCAGCGCAATGTTACCGCCTTCTGCAAGCCGTTGGAATGTTACTAGTCCCACGCCTCCGTCTTCGTCCGTCAGGTTAGGCCAGATGATGTTATTGAAGATGTGATTTTTGATCGCGTTGACGGTAAATGGTAGTGCTGCTAACCGCTTGGGTCGAGATGTATTGTGGAAAGCTGCTGTATTGATGACGAAGCCCGAGACGTGGTCGAGATGTGGATGGGTGATGAGATAAGTCGAAATGTGCTCTCTCACAACATGTAGCGCATTTGCCCTGGCACTTAGATGTGGGAAAGGTAACCCCGCGAATGCGCCAGTTTTCAGCGTAGTAATTGTGACGGGTACATCCTGCTCAGAATCTGGTGTCTCAGGTCCAGAATCTTCGTCGGAGAGCGAGACATGCCCAGTGCCCGGCGACGGCGACTCTATATGCGCGTCACTGCTATTCCCATTTCCATTACCGTTATGTGGGGTCGATAATGCTGGATCCGGGTCGGAGACAAGCGGGAAATCCTGACCAAGTATGCGGGTAATCGATGCAAGGTGGGAGCCTGCATCCACAGCTATGACGGAGTTCTTAGCCCAGTTTGTTGCTGTTGATCGAACGAGGAAGCCCGTGACATTGTCTTCGCTTGGTCCACCTCCAGAGCCCTGTTCGTGTTAGCCTCTACTGCGAGACGGCACATCTGCTTGTCGACCTGCACGATTGGCGACATCTGATGCATATATGAGAAGGCCTCTAGCCACATCGACAAACACAACCAGCACAGAATGACCTACCAGACAGATGACCTGAATCGCAGGTTCCCCCGAATTTCCAGATGATCTCCTCACCACCCTCGCGCTATCTTCTTTCATTCCCTTGGTGTTCCTCTTGTCTTCCTCTTCCAGTTCAACTGATAAATTTTCTTAGCCTCTCTTCCCCAAGCTGTTTTAAGATGCACAAGCACAATCCGGTTTTGCTTGCTCTTTGTCCCAAAACACACTTTCTCTTTCCTTAGAATCTTCTGTTTGCGTCAAGACTCAACGAGGACGTTCTCCCTCTTCTTCGCACCTCCCACCTTTAAAGCCGGAAACCACTCTTGTGCTCAATCCTTGCGTCGCGTTTCCGTAGCGCGAAGCCAGATCACCAGTTTGTTCTGTTACCGTTGCACGTTACACTTGCGTGAACCGATGGCCGCCGTTCCGTCGTCCGGAGCACGATCCACCAACTGATAACGCAGGAAGCCGGAATTATGTGCACAATGATTGCGCGGTTCTTGTCGCGCTAATCCTGATGTTCCGATTCCAGCTCTTCCTCCGTTGTGCGAAAAAGGTACCGATTGTCGCAAATCAAAGTGCGGATGACGACAAATACGCCCGCGCTCAGCTCAGGCGTGCCTTGTGATGATGGCTGTGTTTGGCCGTGCGCGCGAATGTCACCGTGATAGTTCCGTCGCGGGACCGCAATCTCGGCGCGGTTCAGTGTTGTAGAAGTTGACAAGATGGAGATCGAGGTGAGGACTCGAGGATCAAAGACATGCATGTGCCTCATGCGCTTGCCCACGCCGCCGTTCTTTCCAGCCTTCGTTGGACGGCTTCGGCGGTTGGCTAGGGCTATTTCCTTGTCTCTTACAACCAATGATAGGCTCGGCTCGACAAGCCACGACTTTGTTGGCCCCACCCCAGTTCGAGCCCAGATCTGGGGTTGAGAACACCTGACACCTGCTAGGCAACGTAGTGTCAGGGAAGACAAACTCATCGTTATCTGTTGAGTGCGCGATAAGGAACGCAGTCGCATACAAGCGCTTAAGATCTATCACATGTACATGACGAGACTAGCAGAGTAAAAGTACAAGCTTGGAACAGACGTCACAGTATCGAGACAATATTGTGTGTTGGGTATCATGAACTTCTTGTGCAGCATTTTGAGCCTCTAACGGCTATGGCAGTATCACTGATCCACCAGGGCTGCCCAGCGTGATCTCATGAATCCTCATCCGTCATCCTATCCATACCCATGCCAGTTCGTTAATCATCCGCATCATAAATCAAAGCAAACACTTCAAAAAGAAGGCGAAGCGTTTACTTGAACACCTTTCCGTCGGCCCACTCGTAGGACTTTCCGTTGACGGTGATGGGCTTGTCCCACGACCACTGGTCGTTGACGAACTCCTTGTCCTCCTCCTTGGTGGGGTCGAGCTTGGTGAACTCGTAGCTCTCGACATCAGGAGCGACATCGAAGGCGGGGAGAGCATCCTGGCCACGGACGATGAACGCACCGGTGACGATGGAGTCGTTGGACTGTCCGTATACGGAGCAGCAGCCGAACAGGTACTTGCGGCTGGCCTCGAGACGAGTGAAGAAACCACCTAAAGGAATTAGCAATGTGACTATATAAATTGCAGGTGATTTGACTTACCGATCAAGTTGGAGGTCATGAAGGTGAGGGTCAACTCATCGTTGTACTTGTAGTCAACCTTGTAGATGGAGTACTCCTCGAAGTTGGCGTTCTCCCAGAACCAGGGGAGGGCAACCTCACGGGTCTCCTCGTTGGAGTACTTGCGCTTCCAGTCGTCAAGGACGAATGTGGCCTTGGGCAGAGCCTCGAGAGGGTGCTTGGGCTTGGGGGCAGCTGGTGCCTCCTCCTCCTCCTCAGCCTCCTCCTTCTTGGGCTTAGGGGCGGCCTTGGGCTGCTCCTTCTTCTTCTCACCACCCTCCTTCTTGGGTGCGACGTTCTTCAACGCCTCGGAGATGAACTCGAGCTTGGGGGCGACAGCAGAGTAGCTGGTCTGGTTGTAGACGGTCTCGTACCAACGGGTAGTGTTGGGGTTGGAGTCGCGCCATTGCTTGTCGAAGAAGTATTGGAAGCCGCGGGCAAGGATGCTGGCAGCGAAGATGTCGGCAAGAGTCAGACGCTCACCAACGAGGTAGGTGTGTGTAAGGAGGTGCTCCTCAATGACGTGGACGGCCTTGAGGGCGGCCTTCTGGGACTCGTCGACGCTCTTTTTGTTGTAAGGGTCGCGGCCGAGGATGGGGCGGAACCAGCCACCGAGGGGGGAGAGGACCTCAGTGTTGGCAAAGGACATCCATCGCAAGATGGTGGCGTAGTCCTGCTTGGTCTTGCCGAGAAGGCTGGTCTTCTCGTTTTGCGAGGCAACTGGAATCCGTCAGCTCTGAGTCACCACCAAATTTTGGACAGACGGAGTAGATGTGGTAGAGGCAAATCAGAATAGTAAGTTTTCAACAATAGTTTTCAGACAGGGATAACTGAATGAATTCATTCGACATCATATTATGCAGGGAGGAGGAGCGAACGCGCGGGGTAGCACTTACGGTAGACAGCGATGGCGATGCACTCGGAGAGGACAAAGCCGTCAGCGCCCTCGAAGGTAGGGACCTTGCCGAGCTTGTTGAGCTTCAGGTAGTCCTCAGAGACACCCTTGGCTGGCTCAGTGTCGACGAACTCGATGTCGAGGCCATTCTCCTTCGCGACGGCCAGGAGAGAGGTGGTACGCGGGTTACCCTGTTGGCTTGCTGTTAGGACTCATTGCGGTGCGACTTCGCGTGCCTGTGTGCGACGACGTACCGAGTAGCTGTAGAGCTTTCCGAAAGACATGATTGTAGAGTTCGTGGTTGAGCTTAACAATCAGTGTGTGGAAGACAGGAGTTGTGAAGAAAAAAGGCTGAGGGAGGCGGGGCTGTAGGAGACCTGCGTGCACAGTCCACCGTAATTTCGTCTAGCCGATTTGCAGGTGGCTCGTGCATCCATCGTCGTCAGTTGTGGCAGGTGGCAGTTCTTTGACAGCGCTACCACGGTGCATTCGCTGTCGACCACAGGCGCAATGGCAAGCAGGGAGTTTTCAAGGAGTCTTTGGAGGGCGGCCGATGCCCTGGGCAGTCGACCGCGGCCCCAGTGCGAACGCACGATGCGATATGCTCAACGGAGCTTCCAACCCACAGTACGGAGATGCATCTCGACGACAGCCGTACGACGTGCAGAGGTTACAGAGGAAGAGATACGGGAACCATTCACAGCGGCCCCCGAAATTGACTTGGAAGCGACGACAAAAGGCAGCGGCAAGAAGGGCGAAAAGAAGGACTCGCTACGAACACTGCGCGTCGTCCCAGCATCGCCGTCTTACTTCAGCGCAAAGCCCACCTTCACCGACGACTTCCTCTCCCTCTCCGCTCTCCTTCGAAAAGTCGCTACGTTACCTGTTATACCGCCCGCAGAGGCACCCAAGGTGGCCTGGAAGACGATCGAGCAGTATCGCATCATGACCAACGAGCCGGTGAAGACGGCGCGTTATCACAGGATGCTGCAAATACTGCGGAGGCTCAACTGCATTCACCCCGCGCTCATGCCCGACGAGGTTGTGCAGGCGATGCTGCGGTACAAGAAGCCCAACCAGCCCGGTGACATTGTTCCGAAGCCTGGCGTGATTGATGAGCTTGGGCGTGCCAAGGGCGTTGGGCGGAGAAAAACGTCGTCTGCTGTGGCTTGGCTGGTAGAAGGCGAGGGTGAAGTGCTCGTCAACGGCAAGTCCCTCTCAGAGTTCTTCGGGCGGCTGCATCACCGCGAGAGCGCTGTCTGGGCCCTCAAGGCTACTCAGCGTCTTGACAAGTACAACGTCTTTGCTCTGGTGCAGGGTGGTGGCCTGACTGGCCAGGCGGAAGCAATGACTCTAGCTGTAGCGAAGTCATTGCTGGTCCATGAACCCGCGCTGAAGCCTGCGCTGCGACGAGGTGAGTCAATGTTTTCTTTATCCGTGCCTTTTGCAATCCAGCATTGCTTGTTCTGTCGTTCCATGAGCATTGTCTATGCAGCCCTCGCGGCTGACACATGCCCACGTCTACGCCTCAAAACGCAGTCAACACCCCTGGATGATCCCAAACATGTCTCGCCTGCGCATTCCGGATCCAATTGCTGACTGCTCCTTAGCTGGAACCATAACGCGCGACCCAAGGAAGGTGGAAAGGAAGAAGCCAGGTCACGTCAAGGCGCGAAAGATGCCCACCTGGGTCAAGCGATGAGCTGCTTGTGTGTATACTATCCTTTTATCGCTAGTCGTCTGCAGTGTCAGCCTGGCCAAATGTAAGATGAGACATGTCAAGACGCCGTCTGTTGAATGTGCTTCAATTTCGTCGTGTATGTCCAAGCAAGTGTTGATGTTACTCTCGGTACCTTGTCGCTGTTTGCATGGAACAGGGTGCTGTACATACGACACGTGGAGATGACCAATTCTTCGCCTGATTGTCAATGTCGCAACCCAAACGGCCATGTGCTCACACGATCCTCATCTGGTGCGGCATTGCCCGGACAGGGTCATGCTTTTCGATCAAGTGTGTCCAGAAACACAAGGCCTTGAACCTTGTGCCGCTCTGCCCTGCTGACTATGCTTCTTCCCTGGTTCAGTCTCATGTCGAGCAAGTATGCAGGTTCAACCTTGCTTCACTACTGTCTGTTATTGCTTTCTCGGTCCGTTCCTGACAGCTGTTGAAGACCACTTTGCTAAGAGGAAGCAAATGTATATCGCATGAATGGCTGCGCCACCACCAGCACGCAATGCACTCAATACTGATGCGATAACTTATGCCTTCCTGATGTGTTTCTGTTTGCGCTAAACTCGCATTCGCATTCATGACTGCTTTTCGACCAAGACCCTAGATAGGCAAATGTGCATTGTGAGTTTTGCAACAGCAAGATGCTCAGGCCAATTATTATTGCCGGTGGCACATGCGACAAGAGTCAACATATGACCGGCTGATCGCGGGCGCAGAGTTGCGGTGATCGTCCCTGACTCGTTTCACGATGTTCTATTTTGGACATGGTCATAGGGCGGCCAATGATATTTGAACCACGACGTCTGTGCTATATCCGCTTGCACTTGCTTTTCGGTCGTTCCGGATCATGTCGCGGACAAACGTTATGTGGCAGGAGGCATGAGAAGACTTTGGCACTAGAAGATGGGCTGCCGTTTGGATCTTCGTTGGAGATGGGAGCTCCCTGTTTGACTCCTTGTCGCGTGTCCCGCACGACGCGTAAACGGTCGAGCACGGCATTCGCCCGAGACTTTGCCAGGTGGTCGCAGCTGAGTGCGAGTCAGACGTTTGTCGAACGAAGTGAAACCTTCTCGAAGCATGTTCGCCGTGGTCCTTGATCATTTCACGAAGCGCGGTGGTGGAGGTTGATGCGAAAGCCAGGGCCACCTGATGATCGCCATCCGTACCGAATGACGCACTCGTCTGGACAGTGATCGCACCAAAGCGGGCAAGTTGAACGACATTGGTTTCGTGACGCGATGGCTGCGTCCTGCAGAGCCATGCTGTGCGCCTTTGCAAAGCTTCCAGAAGATTGCAGTCTTCGGTGAGCACGTGAACAGGCATTCATGGCGCAAAGTTCCGGACAGTCGCGCGCGCGGCGTATGGCGCGCCAGAGCGTGCAATTGAAGTGTCAGTGACAGCGCAAGGCGTGCTCTTAGCCTGAATAAACGGCGGTGGGTAGCGTTTGCAGCGTGCCGTGTTGAAAAAATGATGGAAGGTTCGCGGCAAGAACCAGTGAGGTTTGCCGGCAGGAGCGACCGAGATGGCGCTAGAGCCCCACCGTACCGCACATGTAAGATTCGAGGAGTCGCAGCGTGGAGAAGGCATGGCGAGGTCGCGAGGTCGCGGCTTGAGTGAGTGTGCGTCAGTCCACGAGTTCGAAAGGGAAGGTCCCCATTCGCAGGATCAGGATCGACGAGTGAGGCTGATGGGTGAAGTGGCCCAAGGCAAGATCGACCACAGGCGAGAGATCCCTGCGCGTGGACGGGAACTTGCAGCGCTGCAGAGATGAAAGGACGGATCGAGTTTGGAGCCCGAGATAGCCCCTAAACCTTCTCACTCCCACCTGTCAGCACCTACCTACACGAGACACTGCCGGCCGTGAGGCTATCCAGGTTCGACATCCGTTTGGTGATTTGGCAGCAGGAGAGGGCGCCTCAAGAGCCGAAGGACGCCTGCGGCATGAAACATGGCGGAAACGCGCTCCTGAAGGTTAGTCTTCCCACGGTGCGTCGGGCCCCTTTGTCCTACAGCTCTTCACGCGTACTGGCGGACAAATGCCATGTGGCGCGTGGTCACTGTCTGCCGCCAAGCCCAGCTGGGTGAGAGGAGCAGTTCCTGGGCCAGCAGCCAGCTGCGACATTTGGCCGCTGTGGAGCCGCGGGGCGGGAATCGCCATCTGGTTGCGCCGAAGAGCAAGAAGAAGGAAGCCACGATGGAGTTGGTGGTTTTTGTCGTCGTGCTGGCGCTGACGGCGCCCTCGTATCGACGGCATCGAGTGGTCACGCATAGCAAACGCGATGCTGCCCTGCAGTGTGGCTGCCCAGACGCCTGCAGATCCACCATGGGCGATCCGTAACCATGGCAGACAGGGTACTGCTAGCCCCGCCCTGGCCATATCGGAAATCGGAGACTTCGCATGGTCGCTGTCATCCAGAGCTGGTAGAGTCGTCTTACTCGTCAGCCCTCGCTCGCCCGACCTGCAGCCACACCCACTTCTCAGGTACCCACCATTGTTTTCTCCTCTAGCTTCAACACCCTGGTCCAAGTATTTACAGTCTGTTCGCCGGCGTGGCTTGCGAACTACTTCCTTTTTGCTTCCCACACTGCCCGATGCTCTCCCAATGTAGCGCGACTGCATCACTTCCCGCCCACGTCTCTTTCTGCCCTCCTCCAGCCTGGCTACCATCGGCGACCACACCACCCTCCCCCACTTGCATCCCTGTGAGCATCTGCGCCAGCCGTGAACTGACGTCGAACTCACACGCCTCTTATAACAGAGCCTTTCACTTCATCCGTCGGTCCAGTGCAACCGATCCGATTACAATCTTAGCATCCGTCGCACTTTCAATCCTGTCTCGGACCGAACGCTTCATTCGTCTCTGCATGTACTCCCGCTCGCCCAGTGCGCCCCAAGACACTGCATCGTGAAGAACGCCAGCGTACGTTTAGGCCGTTGAGCTACCGCAAGGCAGACGTTAGATTGTTTGAGACCATCTCCTAGGCCGGCCACTACTCCGTCCGACTCGTTGGAACACTGATCTGTTTGCAAGGACTACCCTTCAAACATCTCACGCATAAGCGTCGCCTCACCACCAGCCCATCCCACACAGGGTTCTCCACGCCTGCATCTACCGGACAATTTCGCTGTCACCTAGTGGCTACGTGTTTAGCTGATCCACACGGCGCACACATTTTCTCCAACATTACCGCATCGGGAGGACCAATCCCGGACGTCTGAGCATTGCATTGCAGTCATCTTCCTGCAGGCGGAGCGAGGATATCCTGGTGGCTGGCCGAGGCTCTTGCGCGAGCTTCTTTTCCTGCATCATTGGGCTGCATTGGTCGCTCGTCGACGCGTCAGGGCCGTGTTTATATCCAAACCATCTGGACCTGGGAGCATCTCGTCTTCCAATTTCGGACGTCATACATCTACCACCATTGGCCCGCATCACCCATCAACTCTTTCTGGTCCTCTCACGCACCCCGCCCCAAACCGCATCTCTTCCATCAGTCCGCGCATACGTCGACTACACCTGCGCCTTCGCCTCTCCACCTCTTGCGCCGGCCCTC